GTCGTCCACGGACGAAGAGAACGAAGCGGTCGCACAGAACCTACAGAACTGGGACAACATGTCCGTGCAGAGCTATGACGAGGCCATGGCGCCTTACTACGTGCCTTACGATGGCGACGTCCTCCATGACTTGGACATGAGGCGCAGCGGACAATACAGACCCAAGTGTCTGGTCATGTAACGTGTGTATAGACTGATCCTGGTTGTCCATCACAAATTAGCAGTTCAACCAATGAGAGCATGGCAGTTAATCAGGTTCAGCCAATGAGAGAATGGAAAGTAGCGGGTTCATCATCAGCCAATGAGAGAGTGGAAAGTAGCGGCCTAGCGGGTACGTTCAGCCAATAAGAGAGTGGAAAGTAGCGGGTTCAGCCAATGAGAGAATGGAAAGTAGCGGTTCAGCCAATGAGAGAATAGAAAGTAGGGCCTACATACTCGCGTTTTATGGCCAATTTTGCCCTTCTACATTACGACGGATGTGGGCGGGGCTATGAGATCGGTAAATTGCTTTGCCTAAAACTACGTACAGTCTCTAGCGGCCTGTGTTTCCAGTGTACCTACCTCAGAACTCTGCTAAGAACTATAATGTCGTACACCATGTAAAGTGATTAAGAGATCAAACGTTTAATTTTCTACAATAATAATAAGTTCTTTGTGCAGTGTTTGTTTGATAGTTTGGAAGAGTTTATCCATATATTAACACAATGTGTTGTGGACGTTTGCAGTGCAATGTATGATATATTTTAATCTCAAAACTATGCGTCGTACTATGACAGCGTAACAATAAAATCAATCATGGATTAGTTGGATACATACAAATGATCATCCAAAATACAGATAAAAGAGCAAAGAAAGCACAGCGAAGTCGAAGTTATTCATTGGATATTTTGTCAAAGATATTAAGCAATATTTGGTGTCATTTACAGTTTAAGTATTGCTGGGAATAAACTAGCTAGTTCTAGTCTAAGTTGGTTTACCTGTTGCTCGGGTAACCCTAACCTTGTGTATATAAGACTAGTCACTGCTCAACTATTAGCATGTAACATGAAATGTTGGCATTAAAACAACAGATCAATATTGTAACTTTGATTGCCGGACGCCTGTTATATTTGCCTGACATATATAACTACAAATCCGAGTAGCCGATTTTACGGAAGACACTCCTGTTTCTAACAAGTAAGGAAATAAAAATCATTACCATGGCAATGATTACTAGTAAATAAATATTGTTGTGGTCTACGAGTGGGGTGTGGGGGGAAGAGTAGGGAGGTCTACGAGTGGGGTGTGGGGAAGAGTAGGGAGGTCTACCAGTGGGGTGTGGGGAAGAGTAGGGAGGTCTACGAGTGGGGTGTGGGGAAGAGTAGGGAGGTCTACCAGTGGGGTGTGGGGAAGAGTAGGGAT